TTTTTTTTTTTTTTTTTTCCCGCTAGAGGGCGCGTGCTCTCACCAGACAGACAGAGAGAGACATGGAGACAGAAAACGAGAAATCACCTCCCAGGGGGGATGGTACGCCGCAATTCCTTCTCCTCCATTCTCCTCTTGGGATCTTGAGCACGCACGCACACACGCCTGGTGTGAGTTTTAAGCCACCGGGTCCAGGATGTGAACCGCAGTCGACTACGTGGGAGTAGCGACATAGCCATTACGGTAACTGCTGGTTCCTCCTAGACTCTTGACCTAGAAATCCAGACACATTCCAATTTCTTCCTATCCTGACCCAATTATGAAAGTGACAAATAACCCAATGCTGAAACAAGTTTATTGGTTATTTTACACAAAAGAATATAAGCAACTTGAAAATATTCAATCTAGAAAAGGCTCAGCACAAGCTGTTTTCCTTTCATTCTAAGAAAGTATACAAACTCCAGATAAATTGAATGGAGTCAAACTTTTTTTTTTTACATTTTTAAAATTTCATTTTCTTTTATGAATGGAGTCAAACTTTAAGCTTACATAATAGACATACTAAAAAGGAGTCCAGGGTCTCTGCTTTGTTAGAAAAATAGACAAAATCTTTCAAAAGGAAATTAAATAAAAAGAAATGAAAACAGAGGTATTGAATCCTATAGTAATATTAACTATTAGTCTATGACATAATACAAATTATTCAAAATTCAAACAAAAGTTAAATAAATTGTACACACCCACAACTCCCCACACATATATGTGTATATGTGTGTGTGTTTATGTATACATATACATATACACACACATATATATATATATTTTTTAATTGTTTATGAAGGATGGCACACCACAATCTGTTTTCCTCCATTCTCCTCCTGGGATTTGGGGCATGCATGCCCATGCGCCTGGTGTATTATTTACGCTGCCAGCTTCAGGACTCAAACCATGCAGTTGACCAGGTGGGATCCAGCTGTCTTAACCACCATGCCACCAACTGACCCCAAGTTAACATTTTAATAAGGAAAAAAGTATAGGCAAAGTTGTTGGGCACCCATTTAAAAAAATGTATGACTAAGAGCTTTACCAACTCCCTTCAAATCAATTTAAAAATAAAATTAAAAAATAAAATTAAAAAGTTATAGATTCTTGAGTCCAGCAGGTGACGTAGTGGTTGTTGCACTGGACTCCCACATGGCCAACCACAGTTCAAGTCCTAGGCCTGGCAGCTTGCTTTCTTACTCTCTCTCTCTGGTAAGCACATGTACTTTGTAGCAAACTAAAATAATAATAAAATTAAATTGTTCTTTTTAAAAATTGTAGATTCTTCCTGATGCTGAGACCAAGATATTTTCCTTCTTCAAATCTTAAAAATACAAATAATGAGAAATAATTTACTGTAGCCACTAGGAACATTTCTGCACAGTGACATAATCAGAAAATTACTTCCTCCATTATTTAATTTAGTCAATCCCAACTTAATCCAATACCAGGAAAACAGGAGTAAACAAGGGGATATAATCTTCCCTGAAGTCTGTGACTGAGGAATGATTCAGCCTGCAATATAAACTCTGATGACGCCCTGATGGCAGGGGCACGTGTCACCTTTATAGCCTTAAGAACAAAGTGTTGGGGCCAGCAGGTGCATGGTGGTAAAGGGCATTGGACTCCTACATGGCTGACCACGGTTCGAGTCCCAGCCCTGACAGCTTACTTTCTCACTTTCTCTCTCTCTCTCTTCTTCTCAGACCAAATTAAAATAAACAAATAAATAAACTTAAATAATTCTTTAAAAAAAATAAAAAAGAACAAAGTGTAGGGACCAGCAGTTAGCGTAATGGCTATGTCGCTGGACTCCCACGTAGTCGACCGCGGTTCGTGTTCCAGACCTGGCAACTTAAAACTCACAGCGGGCGTGTGTGCGTGCGTGCCCAAGATCCTGAGAGGAGAAGGATTGTGGCGTGGCCATCCCCTCTGGGGGGTGATTTCTCGCTTTCTGTCTGTCTGTCTGGCGAGCGCACATGCCCTATAGCAAAAACCTCTCCCCCCCAAAAAAGAACAAAGTGTAAGGGCCAACAGATAGCATAATGGTTACATGGTTGAACTCTCATATAGTTGATCGAGGTTCAAGTCCCAGAGCTGATGGCTTAAGACTCACATTGGGCACATATGCATGTGTGCCCATGATCCCAAGAGGAGAATGGAGGAGAAGGGATTATGGCGTGGCCATCCCCCTGAGGGGTGATTTCTTGCTTTCTGTCTCCCTGTCTCCGGCAAGTACACATGCCCTATAGCAAAAATCTCTTTCTTAAAAAAAAAAAAAAAAAGTGCAGGACCCAGCAGGTGGAGTGGTGGTTAAGGCACTGGACTCCCACGTGGCCAATCTTGGTTTGAGTTCTGGACCCGGCAGCTTGCTTCTCATTTTCTCTCTGTCTCTCTTTGGTGAGCGCATGTACCGTATAGCAAATAACATAAAATAAAAAGAAATACTACTACTAATAAATAAAATTAAATAATTCTTAAAAAGAAAAAAAAAAAAAAAGAACAAAGGCCAAATCTCTAAGAGAAATTTAGAGAAGGATTTATCCAGGAATCAGTCCTCTCCAAGGCAGGACAGGGAGGAAGTGTGGCAAACACAGCTTTTCTTAAAGAATGAAAGTTGTCATGTGGAGACACTTGGGTTTCCCGAGGAAGAGAAGGAGGCAATGAAAGATCTTGATTTGTGCATTTTAAATCATCCTTGTTTTCTACCATCAACAACTGTTCTATCTCCACTTTCAAAGATAAACTTGCCTGGCGCTTGTGTGTGGGCACCGCCGAGTGCTCTTTCTGAGTTACTCTCTGGCCCTCTGACTCGGGGCAAGTGAGGCTGTCACTGGACTCCTCGCTGGTTTTCCCTTCCTTTATGAGAGGTAGATGTTGAGGCTCTGTTGTGGGTTGCTTATTCTTAGATTCTTCTTTCAGAAGATTCACATTCTCATGAAATTTATGAGAGAAAATACTGGGAGGTTTATCTACTCTAGAATTTGTACAAAAGGTGAAACCGCGGACTTTTTCCTGTTCCCCTGCTGCCTCTGTTGCTAAGGCCTTCGGATGCAGCACCGTCCGAATCAGGAGTCCCTGCGCACTCACGCTGTATTCTTTTGCAGCTCTCTCTCTGCGCTGCTTCTGGAAGTCCTGGAGTTGAAGCAGTTCCTTAGGCAGCTCCATACATGTAGACTAAGAGAAGAAAATGGACACAAGCTTACTATAACTAAACCTTATCTGAAATATGGTATTTAAAATCACTTCTGGACCCAGCAGATAGTGTGGTGGTTAAAGGTGCTGGATCCCACACAGCCAACCGCAGTTCGAGTCCTGGACCGGGCGGCTTGTTTTCTTTCTCACTTTCCCTTCCTCTCTCTCTCGGTGGTTTGAGTCCCAGACCCAATGGCTTGAGGGATGTGCCAGGAGCCTGTGTATGCACGCCCCCCAAAAAATCCCTAGAGGAGAATGCAAGAGAAGGGATTGGGCATGGTCATTCTCCTGGGGGGTATTTTCTCTTTCTCTGTCCCCTCCCTGTCCTCCTGTCTTTCTGTCTTTGGCCAGTACCTGGTAGCAAATTTTAAAAAACAAACAAACAAACAAAAAAAACACTTGCATTACACTTAACTGTAAGTCCAAGTAAAGCTCTATTCAGATGTGTTCATATAGCACCCTCTAGTGTCTCCAACCACAGTAGTGCTATTTTTTTCAGTAATAAAACTTAAGGTTTTTGCCATAGTGTGCATACGCTTTGCCAGAAAGAGATAGAGACAATGAGAGGGAAAGTGAGAAATCACCCCCCAGGGGTGACGGCCACATTGCGATTCCTTCTCTTCCATTCTCATCCTGGTATTTTGGGCATGCAGATGTGCCTGGCATGATTTTCAAGCTGCTAAGTCTGAGCTGGAACCACAGTCAGCCATATGGAGTGCAGAGCCTTAACCGCTAGGCCGTTTGCTGGACCTGTAATTCAAATACTTTGAAAAGACAATGGGGGATCCAGCAATTAGCGTAATGGCTATGTCACTGAACTCCATGTAGTCGACCACGGTTCAAGTCCCAGACCCAGTGGCTTAAACACGCCAGTTGTGTGTGCGTGCATGCCCGGGATCCTGAGAGGAGAATGGAGGAGAAGGGATTGTGGTGTGGCCATCCCTCCTGGGGGGTGATTTTTCGCTTTCTATCTCCCTGTCTCTTTCTGTCTTTCTGGTGAGCATGCTTGCCCTATAGCAAAAACCTCTCAAAAAAAAAAAAAAAAAAAGACAATGAGGACCAGCAGTTGGTGTAATGACTATCTTGCTGGACTCCCAAGTAGTTGACCGCGGTTCGAGATCCAGGCCCAGTGGCTTAAACTCACGCCAGGCACGTCTGTGTGCATCCCCAAGATCCCGAGAGGAGAATGGAGGAAAAGGGATTGCGGCATGGCCATCCCCCCTAGGAGGTGATTCTCGCTTTCTGTCTTTTTGTCCCTTTGGCGAATACATGCGCCCTACAGCAAAAACCTCTCAAAAAAAAAAAAAAAAAGACAATGGGAACCAGCAGTTGGCGTAATGGCTATGTTGCTGGACTCGCATGTAGTCAAC